AAAGCCTGATGTCACCACGGGGAACTCGTTCACATCCTCCATGGAGGCTTGGTCTGGGGAACTGGGAGCCCTCAGGAGTCGTGCATGATCGGGGTGCAACAGGGCGCTGCTAGGGCGTCGTGCTCCTCCTGACGTTGGCGAAGGGGATGACGTAGGGATGGCAGGTGGCTGGACAACCACAGCGCACTGAATCGCTCCTGGAGATGGACTCACCTGCAACACACCAAACTAAATACGTTCATTTGAAATAAACGAAGATTACTCAGCGATGCATCGTAGAAAGAGAAGTATACTTTGGATTTTACATACAATTTTATTGTTAGTAATTGTTATGAACATGAGAATTTCGCTTAATTTTGTTACAAAATGCTCCTTTACATAGCAGTCTGTATGCGTTGAAAATAGTGATTTTTTTATAAGGAAAACAATTCTTTTAACAACAGTGCAACATACTAGCAATTATACACAATCTTTTATAAAGAAATATTTGTCTGTGTGGCCATTCGATACGTTTCGTATGGTTCTTCCTACGAAAATGAAGTTGAAAAGCGTAGTATTCCCCAGGAAATAAAAAAGCCAATATAAATCCGTTCAACTAAGAAATGACTGATATTTCAGTCTGTTAATATGACGACCAATTCAATATGCTGTGATTGATTTCGATTACGGCCCTGCCACTGAATATTCAAAGGATATATTTCTCGACAACTCTAATATTGAATTTAGACACGTCCTTCAGAATGGAACATGAATTTTTAATGATAAAATAAAAATATGGCGTCATTATGAAAACAAACAGTACAATGCATTTCGGGTTTACACGATAGGTCTATTGAAGCTATTGTAATCACGATTTGAAATTCCGTGCTATCGATCGCATGCCATTTGTCGAAACAAGACAAATGGTGTGAGTGACTTTAGCTCCAACTGGCGTAGCTGAGCTCAACAGTGGCTTCAGAGATACTCCCTTCATCCGTAGCTGAGCTCAACAGTGGCTTCAGAGACAGTCCCTTCATCCCTCGCGACACGTCAACTACAAGAGGTGATTCTTTCTGTTCGGAGACTTTAACATAACAAATCCGTAATAAGAATTACGTCGAAAGTAGGCTCCAGGATTCACAACAGATAGGAATCACAAATTTTTGTGAGCGTTCAAAAATCTATCAAACAAATTTTAGATTTAAAATTCGGATCATTATTGACAAGCTGACAGCAGCTCAGACTGTCAATGAATCCCTCGTCTTTTATAGAAATCAGAGGTCTGCTGATTCAACGACAAGAGACCGCCAATGAAGCACATACAATATTTCCTTATAATGAAATCTATCGTTATGCTCCCATCTAATCCCAGTTCCTCAAAAAGGCGTCTTTCCTTCACGTTTTAAACGTTTTCAACTTCCATATGCTTACTGCAAGCCTCGCCCTCATAATGTCTGAAAGAAAGCTCAACGTATGAAGCTCCCCTATGGTATGTTCATCTTCGTGTTGTTCCCTGTTAGGTCAAAATATTCTACGCAGAACTTAGTTCTCAAACACCCTGTGTTCATTCCCGTCTCCTGTTTAGAAACGTAAGCAATAGAATACACGTAGCTATAATTTTACCTCTTCTAACATATCGATTTATAAGTTAGTCTTTTGTTGGTAAGGCAAGACCATAGTTACGGTTCTGAAGTAAGCTGGAGAAACCTTTCCCCGATATCAGTCCCCTATTAAGTTCTTTTAAATGTAATTGTTACTGTTATAGAAAACATACGATCTATTGAAGCATCTTCTTTAAAAAAGGATTCGTTTCGTGTGTGTAAAATGATACCACTTCATGCATTTCAAGCGAATTTTATAAAGAATAAGAACAAAGAGCTCAAATTCAATAAAACCGAACTATATAGAAACACACTAACCCGCTATGAACAAAATACTGACGCTGATAATTCAATTACGAACCTGCCAAATTATTAAGGCGTAGAACATAGAACATCATGCAAATTCGCTGTATTACGTAATAAAAACTGAAGGCCTGTGAGCAACAGGGGCCTAGGCCACACGTTACTAAGAGCGAGCGAAATGGATTTAAGTTAATACAGTCAATGTAATTCCACTTTGAAAGATCCTGAAAGATTTAAAGTTAACAAACTACACGTAGGTAGCTCGCATGCGTACAAAACGAGGCGTCAGCGAGATTAAATAAATTTTTAATTATTCTAGATTTTTAAACCTTTTAGGTTAACCCACTTTTGTTCCCAGGCCTTCAGGCATCTATTTACAACCCCTTGCGTCTAAGCTTTCCCAGGCCTTCAGGCATCTATTTACATTCCCTTGCGTCTAAGCACTCACCTTGGAGGTAAAGGGAAGACTTGAGGTTAATTTTCCGCACATTCTCTGCCTGTTCAAGGAATCGAACCCTAATAGTCAATGCCAATCATAATTTTATAGATTGACTACATCGGCTTAAATTAGTTTAACGAAATCATAAATCCGTTCAGGACGTTCTCGTAATTTTCATGGCTTCAAACCATTTCAGTCGTGGCAGTACACGTGTTTATTTCATTTAATGCGAGTGAGAGAAATACAAGGCACTTGTACGACAAAATTATCAGGTCATCCATCTGACAGCTCTTCCAACTAATGGCCTCGCCCATGCAACAAAAGTAATAATATAGGCTACTGGCCTCGTCGCTGTGCCTCGTAAACGTGCATGGGATGACCCCCAGTACCGTGCGTGATCGGTAATCGTTTAACTGGAGAGGAAAATGGATCGACATCCGCCTATGGGAATTCATTTTTAGGAAGCGAAATCACGTGATTTGCAGGGAAACAAGAATTTATCCTCTGGTTGTGAACTACATGAATCGAAAACGGAGGTCCATCGAAGTTCAAAACAGCACGGCACAGCATTCGTGAAATGAGGAACAAGGAATTTAGTCGGATAAAGGAGAAATCACGCACAAAGAATTAAACATGTAAGATTTGAGGTTTTCACAGCGGTGAGTATGAAGATTTCTGTCTTCTGGGTTGTTGCGCTCTGTAGTCTGCTCGATGTTAACCAACGTTTCAGAGGTCATACTGCCTCCGTCATCAGGGCGATGAGTATGAAGATTTCTGTCTTCTGGGTTGTTGCGCTGTGTAGTCTGGTCGATGTTAACCAACGTTTCAGAGGTCATACTGCCTCCATCATCAGGGCGATGAGTATGAAGATTCCTGTCTTTTGGGTTGTTGCGCTCTGTAGTCTGGTCGATGTTAAGCAATCGCCCTCATGACGGAGGCAGTATGACCTCTGAAACGTTGGTAAACAGGGGTGCAAAGTAGACCTACCTCCTTGTGGTGCACCCTGGGCAACGTCTCTGACGGCAAAGTGGTCTACAAACTAGGCAAAAAAGGGTCAAAGATGAAATTCTATGTACGTGCCATTTGATATAAATAAATAAATACATAAAATAAATACGTTTTGTAAACATCGACCAGACTACACAGCGCAACAACCAAAAAGACATAAATCTTCAGAATTAAACATGATAATAGAAAATAGCGTTGGTATTCAATGACACAAAACAACGTAACTGGTCGTCAGTCAACAAATCTTCGTCATTGAGGTCCTTGCTTTGCTGTGTGTGCGCTAGAAGCAGGGTCTTGATACACTGGACACTGTACTAGCATTGAATTTATGAACTTATGAGCTTCACCTGCACAGACTCGATGCCAAGGTCATGCTGCCCTCTCAGATCTCCACTCAGGGCGCCTCCGTCCTCTGCTGTGAATACAAAACTCTGACCGTCTGCTTCTCCTCGGGGTGAGTCCTGACTGGGCCACACCTGCAGCAGAGGTAGGGAACAGACAGGGGGACCGCCCCGAGACTCTGGGTCCTCTACCCCGCCTCCCAATCCAGCTTCCTCGCACCTGTTGCCTCCGTCGTTGTAGCCACCGCCACCAGAGTCGCTTCGACTTCCTGCTTTCACAGCTCCCCAGAGCCTTTTGAGACCCAGATCTCTCAGCGGCATCTGCGGTACAAACAAACAAGAGAGTTAACTAACCAACTAACTACTTCAGAACTCAACTCTGTTGGGTCAGGTTAGAGTAAGTTGGTATAACCTGTCTGAGCAGAGAGTCAAACTTTTACTTGAGAACGATACCGTTTATTTTCATACGTGATGGAAATGATTTTCGTAGGTAATTCAGTTCTGGAGGGGCGAGAACGCTTGGGCACTGTTGCGTTCCACCAGATCACTTATACATCTACACAAGGATTCGTTTGTAAGACAAGTTATACGAACGACTGAAATGCCCAGTAGCGTCGCCCTCATGACGGAGGCAGTATGACCTCTGAAACGTTGGTAAACAGGGGTGCAAAGTAGACCTACCTCCTTGTGGTGCACCCTGGGCAACGTCTCTGACGGCAAAGTGGTCTACAAACTAGGCAAAAAAGGGTCAAAGATGAAATTCTATGTACGTGCCATTTGATATAAATAAATAAATACATAAAATAAATACGTTTTGTAAACATCGACCAGACTACACAGCGCAACAACCAAAAAGACATAAATCTTCAGAATTAAACATGATAATAGAAAATAGCGTTGGTATTCAATGACACAAAACAACGTAACTGGTCGTCAGTCAACAAATCTTCGTCATTGAGGTCCTTGCTTTGCTGTGTGTGCGCTAGAAGCAGGGTCTTGATACACTGGACACTGTACTAGCATTGAATTTATGAACTTATGAGCTTCACCTGCACAGACTCGATGCCAAGGTCATGCTGCCCTCTCAGATCTCCACTCAGGGCGCCTCCGTCCTCTGCTGTGAATACAAAACTCTGACCGTCTGCTTCTCCTCGGGGTGAGTCCTGACTGGGCCACACCTGCAGCAGAGGTAGGGAACAGACAGGGGGACCGCCCCGAGACTCTGGGTCCTCTACCCCGCCTCCCAATCCAGCTTCCTCGCACCTGTTGCCTCCGTCGTTGTAGCCACCGCCACCAGAGTCGCTTCGACTTCCTGCTTTCACAGCTCCCCAGAGCCTTTTGAGACCCAGATCTCTCAGCGGCATCTGCGGTACAAACAAACAAGAGAGTTAACTAACCAACTAACTACTTCAGAACTCAACTCTGTTGGGTCAGGTTAGAGTAAGTTGGTATAACCTGTCTGAGCAGAGAGTCAAACTTTTACTTGAGAACGATACCGTTTATTTTCATACGTGATGGAAATGATTTTCGTAGGTAATTCAGTTCTGGAGGGGCGAGAACGCTTGGGCACTGTTGCGTTCCACCAGATCACTTATACATCTACACAAGGATTCGTTTGTAAGACAAGTTATACGAACGACTGAAATGCCCAGTAGCGTTCGAGGTTTTCACGGCGTTGAGTCCGAAGATGTCTGTCTTCCGGGTTCACTCATCGCCCTGATTAAGAAGGCAGGAATGGTAAATTTCTACCAGACTACGCTGCGCTATAACCTTGAAGAAAGCCATCATTGAAATGCCCATTACTGTATTAGCATCAACGGCAGGAATGGTAAATTTCTACCAGACTACGCTGCGCTATAACCTTGAAGAAAGCCATCATTGAAATGCCCATTACTGTATTAGCATCAACGGCAGGAATGGTAAATTTCTACCAGACTACGCTGCGCTATAACCTTGAAGAAAGCCATCATTGAAATGCCCATTACTGTATTAGCATCAACGGCAGGAATGGTAAATTTCTACCAGACTACGCTGCGCTATAACCTTGAAGAAAGCCATCATTGAAATGCCCATTACTGTATTAGCATCAACGGCAGGAATGGTAAATTTCTACCAGACTACGCTGCGCTATAACCTTGAAGAAAGCCATCATTGAAATGCCCATTACTGTATTAGCGATACAACGGTTAATGCATGCTGTTTTCCGAGTTTACTGACTGTATCTGCAACAGGTGCTTTTATAAAGAAGTTTTCGTTCTTTACATCATTGTGGTCAAAAGTAGCACCACATTCATGATTACAATTAGTTTCCAGGAGACATAAAACGTCTTTGTTAGTTAAGAAACGCAACAATCTTTACTTGGACGTAGGAACTGAATTGTTAAATAAGCTTTGTGCTTAGAAGGAAATAACAGTGATTTCAAAACTGCTTACTGAAGAAGTCATCACATTCGGTCCATGGAAAACTAAACACAGATGACTGGTCACATACGAAGCCTTGAAAGGTCACAATCTTTTTACCAAACATTTATTGGCTCACAAATATTTACATACGTCTGCAATCTTTTGTGTTTTGAGTCTCTTTTTTAGTGTTGAATGTATAAAACTATGTTTAATTTACAATTTCATTCCAGTACGTTGATGGAAAATGACAAGTCTTTTAAATATTAATTAACAAAATCAGTACAGTCACTGGAAAATGTGTGACAAACTGCGGGCCGTACTATGCCGTTCTAAACTGAATTAATGCTTCCCAGCTTTCGTAATTAAAAAAAGCAATGTAATGATAAATTCTATATGTCGCTTTTTTACATTATTAAATAAAAATGTGTTTTTAGATACTTCTCTAGATTTTCCTGTAATTTTTTTTTTGGGGGTGGATACTTTAAAGTACATACGTATTTATAATTTCCATATAAATATAGAATGCCTAATGTAAAGACTTGAGCACAATTGTTCAACTTCTACAAACGAAGCTTTTAGAGGATCTTATGAATGTGGCCGCGATTTTAGGATGCGACTTTAATCTTTTGAGTTGCACTCCATTGTGAATGTACACATTTATATGTGTTGTGTGTAAGAACGACTTCCGACTACGAGGGTGGGAGAGAGCGAGAGGATTGTATTGTGACTAAAATATAAACGAAAAGAAAGAGGAATTCTGTGGTGTGTCACAAAAACGACCACATGGAACTGAATAATTTAAGTGAAAAAAACAACACCACAGACTTTATGGTCTCAGTATTTTAAATGTTATCCCTTTTCAAGCAGTAACTGAAATTCAGTAGCGCTAACCGCTCGATCGAGACGTCGGGTCTCTGACTTTTGTCCACAAGACACAAAAATGTGTCCCACCGAAAGTTACTGGGTCTTCGGAATATATAAAAAAATAATTTAGGAGCCGCGCGGTATTTGTAATCTACACAGAAAACAGAAAACAGTGGAATCGCTTTATGACCGCCGTGGTTAAGACTGGCTGGTACAGGCTCTCCACTTAAAGAAGGGTAAATAAAGTCAGTGGAAAGACAGTACGAGTTCGTATCTTGTAGAATGCAGGAAAAAAAATCATAATATAAAAATAGCTTCAAAAAATGTTTGTAAACGACAGTAACAGATAAAGATCCATACAAAAATACTCCACAGAATACAGGCCAATTAAATTCGGTGAATGTTAATAATTTATTATCTCACTATTTCAGCTACTATCCATAAACATCAACTACAATGTAAACGGTGATCCATTTATCGAGACCAGTTTGTTGTACCCGAAACGTCATGTTCGTAAATAACCAAGACAACTGATAATATCTATAACAATAGCAATGTTTAGTGTAACACATCAGGGCCAGAAATGATTACATTTAACAATGTTTCTGTGTGTATGAAACTTCATGTTTCGCCCTGAAAGGAAAGCGCCTAGCGAGGGAACGTACAACAGACAAGCCATTCGGAAAAGTTCTCTAATACCTACATACATTTTATGTTAGAGGGAGAGACCCTCGGGCGTCCCTACGACTGCCAGCTGCTGGTATAAATCTTCCAGCAGATAGAGAAATGGTAGCTGAGGTTTCTGCACCGTTCCAATTTCATCTTGTTACTGATAGCAAACTTGATCGGCCAGTTCACCAAGGGGAGAAATACTTTATTCTGCCTCCTTCACAGACGGTAATATTATTAATACACACGCACGAACTGTTCAGAACTAAAGTGGCATTACTCAACGAAGGCATAGGATGACAGATTTAGGTGTATGTTTTAATTTTATTCATTGTAATAAATTAAAATACATTTGCATTACAGACAAATTTACCAGCAAGCACGCCAAATTATGTTATATTTTTAAATTTGGTATCAACGCGGAACCCAATTTTATTGAATGTTAAAAAAATTGACTTATGCCATTTCAGCTCTGAGAAATTCAAGTGTCGGATCGAAGGCTACCCAGCAGAGCGAATACACTTTGCTATAACGATATCATGATTTCCAGCACAATTCAGTTATAAATTTAACGAGGTTGATAATACAAATTCTAAAAAAATTCATGATATAATAAAGACATTTTAAAAGTTTCTAATTCCACGGATAAATCCGTTTAAAAAAACTGTCATAGCCAAACAGCGATCCACCAATTTATCACTACAGATGCAATCGGCCTTGAACTAGCTCCTTATTTGCCATGTGTCGTGTCAGAATGCAGCGATGATCTGAACAGATTTCCCGGGTGACAGAACGGACTTGAACATTTCACGTAGCGATAAACATGATCACACTTTTAAAGAAAAAAACTTTCCGAGACACTAAAATTAATCCCTGAAATTCAGTCATGATTCAGTGCCCACTGTTCGGAGTTCCGCATATTTCCGGATAGGCTAGTGGTCAGGACCCTGGAATTTACGTCTCTTGTTACTCAGTATTCACTAAATTATTTGCTTCACGATCACAGTCAAATCGTACAAAGTTACAAACCTGTGTTTCGAAGAATATGTATTAAAAGTACTCAGTGTTTTGTACTGTTGAATAAGAACCAAGTAACTTAAATTCTGTCAATTTTCATTTTTCTCAAATCTATAGGATTTGAGACTTTCGCGGCGAGTACAATCAATAAAATCTTCTCGGGCAATTAGCTGCGTTAACTATGACACAGGCGACTTTCGAGGATCCAGTCACATCAGAACCCTGAAGATGGGGACAGAGTTTGTTCCCGAAACGTCGGTTTACTACGGTAACCAGTTAACGCGGCTGATTGCCCGAGAATATTTTATTGTTTCTCAAATCTATTTACATCAGAAAGGGACTGCTGATAGTCGCTCAGCGTTTCAAGAAATTCCCCAATGGTGTTTATTCTCGTCTGTGTTGTGCTGTCCTGTGTAAGTAGAAAACTTGTGACATGCAAGCTGCTTTGTTCAGTCCAGGAAGAACTACAGCTTAAAACGACAGTAGACTCAAAAGTTCTTTCTCCCTAGGGACGGCCTTGTAACGTGAAAATGTTGACACCTTAATATTTTATTACCGTCTATATGAATTTATAGCTCTTAAAGATTCATTACATCTGAAGCATGTTACACGCTGTGCACACTGAACATTATTACAAAATGGGAAATACAGAACATTAACTGTGACTTAGCTTCAGAAACAAAGAAAGACAAAATTTTATTATCACTCCGGGAAAATGTGAGTACTGTGCAAAAGACTGATTTACAAAAGAAATTTTAAAATATTTAAAGTCCAATTTTCTTTAATACTCGGCTTTCCGCAGTTTGTTTATATATAAATATAATTATTTAATTTGATTTCCCAAGATCGTGTTCCCGTATCCACATTAATCCATTTGTACAATATTAATTTCGTACAACGCGGATTAACCGAATACGCAGGTTTCGAGAAACATGTCCGCGGTTTACTTCTTGTATTAATGCTCTTCCTTTGTATACTCGTGTTTAATAATGCTCTTTCTTACTGAAGTTGAATTTGTTAATATCCATCCATCATGTATTTATAAAGGTTGTCTCTCGATGTACTTCTTCACCTCTTCAAGTTATTACTTAATAATGCTTCGGGTATTTGTACAAGCTGTGACATCACCAGTAATTTAACAACTTGGTGACCTAAGGATGGCGATCGTCCTGATGATGGAGGCATCTCTGAAACGTCGGAAAACTGCTATCAGATTACATGGCACAACAACCCAGAAAACAGCCATCTTCATACTCACAGTCGTGAAAACTTCAACTCCTACTAAATTTGGCAACCTTTTCTCTTTCCAAATCTGTCCAGTTACATAGTACCTCATTGATCCGCAGGGAAGTAATTGAAATTCTATCAAATATTGATGTTGATAATGCTAATAGCAGTCAGGGAAGCTTTA